AATATTATAAATGCGAATGTTTAGATGGATGTGATGTGGATGGATGGGCTACACTAATTAAGTTTTTTTTATATATTCACGCGGACGGAGTCGCGGACGACAGCTAGTTTTATATATTCATAAACATTATTTTAATCACATATTTATATTCTTTTAATCTCATATTTATCTCCAGACAAGAAATATTCTTAATTCATAAAGATCTCACAGAACTTGAAATAGGAACAGGAGGCAAAAGTTTTAAGCGCATTTACAAATAAAAATATTCAACTTTCATGAATTTATTTGTTTGTAATTAAAGTACAAAGATGTATTTTTAATTACTATAAAATAAAACTTCGAGTTGTTTCTCTCAAACAATATTTGCATGAGAAGAGGATGTATGCGTTAATGAGTTTAAACAAAAAATAAATTGCATATAAAATTTATTTGTAGAAAACAACTAAGTTAAACAAAAAATGCCATATTTTTTAACATAAAAGTGTTTTATTTATTGCAAAGAAACTTTTATTCTCACTCTTACACGTGATGTATTGAACATTGAATTCAATATCTTACCAATATTATAAATACAAAAGTTATAGATGGATGGATGGATGTTTGAAGGTATCTCCGGAACTACTCAACGGATCATGATGAAATTTGGCTCATATGTTGAATATGTAAGAACACATAGGCTATGTATTTCTCTTTGTTTTTAATTCTGCGTGGACGGAATCGCGGTTAGCTAGTTTTATATAATAAAAACTAAACGGTCTGTTGTTATTTACTTGTGTTTCGCAACTTACGCTTGTATACACAGTTTCATATGTAAACTTTTTGAGTCATGTTTCTCACTGTTCAGCGAAAAAAACATTCTAATTAGACGCAGTGCGTAAATACCAAATACGCTACGCGTTTCCAACGCAATCACTTTTTTACCATCTAATATTAGTACGTGTACGATCTTACTTAATCTCCATGAAGAAAAATATGACAAAAACATTAAGTAACTGATGCTGATGATAAATACAGATTTTTTAATGGATAAACAAATTGACTGTACAGATTAAAACAATACTTTCTTGAGTCACAAAAAACTGAAGTAATCATGTTTATATTGCCACATTTAGTCCGAATCCTTCACCACGAATGCTTCGCCTTCTACTAACGCATTGCTTAGTGACGACTAAGCAATTGGTAAATTTTAGTTAAATACATATTTGTAAATGCCATGAAGTGTTGAACCTCGACAATTCCTATTCCTTGACCAACTATTGGCACAGATGTACGTCACTTGTTTACCTTATTGCTGTATTGCTCACTAATGTTATTGCGAAAATGTCACTAGAAAAATGACGAACGACATTGAATAAGAACTCATCGGGAAAAATTATTTACAACTAACTGAATACGGAATGCGTTGCAATACCAAAGTGTAAATACTACCGTTCGCGCGGAATTAAAAAAAAGCAATAAATAGCCTATGTGTTCTTACAGTCTATGTTCTACATCTATGCCACATTTCAGTGAGATCCGTGTACCCGTACCATACAAAACTTCTTATAAACATACATCCAAACATTCGTATTTATTTCTTTAGTAAGATTGTTGTGGTCAACCAAATAATTTAAATTAAATAAAAGTATTTTTAGGCACAAGTCTTCACTACTTAAAATTAGCCAAGGTTTTATAGATATTTTAAGAACACCATAAAAGTAGTGACGGATGCCCATCTTAAGTATATTGTTAACCATAGATACATGAAGCAACTACCGCAGCACATCTACGATTTGAAAGCATAACAATGCTAACGTTCAATGGATTTTCCGGACAATTAATCTTACACTACACGTTATGTATGCGACCTCCGTATGCAATGTGAGAGTAAATCCGTCGCAAAGTGATGTAAGGCATTATTCCAACGATTTCTCTACATAACTTAACTGGAATTAGGTAGTTTTATAGTAATATAGAGTCTATACACAAAGGTACCATATGATACTGATTTTATTACACGATTTTTCCTAACTATTATAGTTCAGGGCTTCCCAAACTGGGTCGCGGATGAGAGCGAAAGTGTGTCCGTGGCCCCGTCCCGAAGCGTTGGGGGAACACAGAGGTTTTGTGGGTAAGCCTCCGCCATGGAGGAGAATCCCACATAACTACCGCATCGCCCCCTGGGCGCGGAGTATGCATAAAGCATTACTTTCTGGAAAAAAAGGGTTCCCAAATTATGCGTCGCCAGTTGAGGAGTTGAGGCAGTGAAGCGTCGCATCGTGAAACAGGTCCGCTTGGTTTTTCCAAGCTGATATCCAGTTTTAAGAAGCTATCTCTATGAAATACAAACACATCCTTCTCTTTAGCAGTTTGCCAAATTTAATAAAATTTGTTAATTTCCAAATAAAATATATTAAAAAATATCAAAATCATAACAATTTTGTCACTTTTTATTATTTAAAAAAATTGATAGCTTGGTATTAGATTAGTGATAAAACTAGTTACATAAGGTACGTTTAGTAAGCCCTAATTCTCTATTTAATTTATTAAAATAGGCAAGACAAAAAAGGATTAAACAAACGCAATAAAACGCGCAGGAATTCGCGACCTTCAACCGTTGTCACATGACCGTCCTCTCTCACTGACGGGCGCCGACCGTTTAGTATTCCACAATAGTAAATAATTAAGTAAGAAGACTAGTCAAGTATTCTACGTAAGTAAAAATTAAACAGTATCGATTGTATTTCGTTAGGAGAAGTCTTTTTCTCTAAAAATATGCAGGTCGCTATGAATATTTGCAACAGCTGATCTGAAAATGCTATTCAGTTCATTTTAAAGAATAATACATGTTATACCATTAGCTGTCGCCTGCGACTCCGTCCCCGGTTAATTAACAAAAACTTAACTAGTAGCCTTTCTATATTTCATTGAGATCCATGCAGCCGTTCTGGAGATACCTTCTAACAAATATCCCTCCATCTAAACATTCGCATTCATTATATTAGTAAGATACAAATCAAATCTTAATATTGCTTTCCAAAAATTATACCACTTTCTTTATAAGTAAAGGATATGAGCGCGACATTAGGGATATTTTTAATATTGTGTTATAAAGTTTATTTTAGAAGACAGGCCAAGGCAAAGTGTCAACTTTTTACATGTTAATAAGGTAATCAAATTATCTATGTACATGTTTTGGTTTTACGATTTTGTACTGTAAGACATATACTAAAGGTCTATGCGTGTCTACATTTCAGTGTTTAATTAACAATTAATAGTGTGTTTTGTATGTACACAAACAAACACGGCGTTTGCTGTTAATATTGAATGTTTGTTAAAGCTACTGCAAGCTTATCTGTACATTGGCTATTTGCACAGTGTACTATACACATCCGAAAGAAATAACTTGGGACAAGCCTTTTGAAGGCTTACTAATATTATAAATGTGATTATTTAGACGGAGGGATGGATGTTTGTTTGAAGGTATCTTCAAAACGCCTGAATAGATCTTGCTGAAATTTGGGAAAGAAATCATAGGCTAGGTAATTATAAAAGAAATAGTAATAAATTATTAAGAGGTCAATATTGTTAAGTGATCTGTTGATAGACACTTCATAATAGCATTTATTACTGTGTTATTAATAAACATTTTATCAATGAAGAGAAAATTCACACGAAACACTAGAATACTTGAGGAAAAATGTTATTATAATTTTATCGAACAAAAAAATATTACTACTACTAATGTTAGACATGTTTTTTGTGAACTGCGCCATCTCTCGCCAACACTAAGAAAACGAAGTAAATATCTTACTAAAACTCCATTGCGAAGATTTAATAGTTTTCGTATTAACCACCAGATGGCATATAAGCAAAGTAAAAAAGTTTAAGTAGAGGGCATGTAATTACATTTTTTTTGTTTGCTAACTATTAAGGGATAACGTTCTTAGGTCCCCACCATTTAAGTATATTGTTAAGCGATTCGAATGAATCATCAAATAGCCTCTCACAATTTTTCAGTATGTAAAACACAGCGCCTGCATTTTTATATTGAGCACACACACTTCTGCGCTTCGACTAAATAATTTTATAACAAAACGCACTCAGTCGGTCCTTTTAATAAACAAATAATTTTATTGAACGTTCGTTGCTATTAAAATGCAATCATAATAACTCAATTTTGCTACAAATTTTGCAGATCATGGAAGTAGAACTTTTCGTCAGGTACGAGCAAATTGTCACTACAAGGAAAATGTATTTGCTACTGACACAGGCAGCATAATTCACTTATTCACCGAATGTCCTGTCCACCCAGATATATACATTTACATATTACCAGTACACTACTCTTTATCACAACAACTTAAACTTGTTCTAGGACATGGTTAACGACAAAAGGCAAACAGGGATTTAGAATCATTGCAGACATTGGCATTTTATACAAGAAAATATATATATTTATCTTCATGAAGTCTCCATTCGTTAATACAGTATTGGTTTCATATTATCTACCATACTTGGTTACAATACTTTTTTTAACTCATATCAGACATATATGTAAATACAGTTTTTTGTAGCCACTGACCTAGAAAGATTATGTGATTAATTAATATGTTTTATTTAGAAAAAACAATTTCGAAAGCGTAGCCACGTGGGACAATGTACATTATTGCACGTACTAAAAAGTGATCAAGGAGTCCACAGGGATTAAGTAGCAAGACTGACCTTTGACAGAACCTGCTAGCTGTTACCCGCGACCACGTCTGCGCGGAATTAAAAAAACAAATAATTAGTAGCCTTTATGTTCTTCCAGTCTACGTTCTATATATATGAAAAATATCAACAAGATCTATTCAGCCGTTCTGGTGATATTTTCTAACTAACGTCCATCCATTCATACATCCAAAACTTCGCACTTATAAATAAGATTAACGTACTTGCACAAACATTAAACAGTTTTTATGTGCGGATTTCAATTTGAAGCAAATGTTGAGATAGATTAAAAAACAAAAATGTATATACTATCATTTATTATTTCAGGGTTATACATAATAAAAACAAAACCGATCAATGTTATGCCAACAAAATTTAAACAGACAAGTGAACAGGGGTGTTCTTGTAGAAGCATTCAACAGTTTTGTACATAGTGTCAATCTTGTTCGATTCTTGATGCTTGTTGCAAGTATCGATGACCTTAGCAACGGCGTCCTTGTGTTCATTGCCTTCGAATAAAGTAAGGAGTGCTTCATTCAGGTGACCATCTTCATCGGCGTAGTTGGTTTTACGACACAAACAGTATATGAAGTTCTTGCTGTCGGGATCGCTGCCGAATTTGAGTTTAAAGAAATTGTCAGAAACTTCTTGGCTGGCACCGGTCTCTTTGAGGCAGGTGGATGCTGCTTCCTTAGCTACGTTGAGAACGATAGGCGGCAAATGGATGACGGGTTTCTGTGAAAAGAAATGAAGTCAGAAACATTGAAGCTAATATATCTTTAGGACAGAGGTAACTTTTTAAATGAGTAGTAAGGCTTTCTCCCCTTGTTAAGGACTATTGTGCTTACTTTGTTCATTTGATGGGATCAAATACTTCATTGATCTTTTAGTGACACTGATTTATTTAAAAAAATATTTCAGGAATAACACTGGTACAACTAAACCTTGTGTGTAGGAGAATGAGGATCATTCTATATATGACTCATGCAGCACCATCTAATGGTGATCTGAAGTTATCTACAATATACTATTTTTCTTATATTGAAAATGTACTTACAGATTGATCGCCGAGGGCGACCACAGACAGGACGGACAAGGCAACCACAAAGTACAACATGGCGAACGAAAATATTCACTTGAGGTCTTACTGACTTCAATTGTTACAACTGAATGATACTTACCTCTTGGTTCAACTAGTATTTATATCGAGAAACACATATTATAATGACTCAAGCCTGCTATTAAGAAAACCTAGAGATTCGAAAAAAATGTAACCATAAATTTCCATTTTCTATTAAATACGCGCCAGAAAAAAAATCAAATGCAATCTTGCCATTGTGAATGGTAATTCATGCCTATATTAACGTAAGTGAAACTTACGTAATACATTTTCAGTGTTTTTTATACAATGCTCAAAACCATTTATTTTTGTATAGGTAACCAGAGTGGGATTAACGTTAATATGATGGAGATATGCATATGATACATTAAGTAATAGAAAAGTAGGTACTTGGAGACATAATATAATTTGGTGTAGTTTAGTATTGTTTCATAAGTTTTTATTAAATTAATTTTGTGTAATTTTTCATCGATCATAATATCTTAATTGATATAGAAATTTTCTATCTTATGAAATAAGATCAAGCGAAAGTGCAGAACATTAAAATATGGTAAGGTCCTATCTATTGATTCTGATCGCAATATCATTGATCACCTTTAAAATTAAATAACATAGCAATTATTGTAACAAGGTGTAAGAATATGGTATTAATGCCAATAAATCATCATCATCAGCTCACTATGCGTCTCCACTGAGGGGTTCGAAGCCTACCCTAAGTTAAGGGTGATAAGGCCATAGTCAACCACGTTGGCTAAGTGTGGGTTGGTAATGTCAACACAATTTATTAAACAAAAACTATAAGTTCCATCTACATTTATTTACTTGTAGCTGTTTTGGTACAAAAAATGCAATAGATGGAACTATTAAATACTAGCTGTCGCCCACGACCCCGTCCGCGAGCAATTAAAAAAAACTTAATTAGTTGCCTATGTGTTCTTCCAGACTATGTTCTACATCTATGCCAAATTTCAGGAAGATTCCTTCAGCCGTTTTGGAGATACCTTCAAACAAATATCCATCCATCCATCTAAACATTCGCATTTATAATATTAGTAAGATGTAAATAAATGTTTACTTTATTCACCACGTTCAAAAAGAAGGAGGTTATCAATTCGTCTGTTTTTTTTTATTTTGTTTAGAAATAAAACAGACTGTCTGGAAGATTGTTACCCTACATATTAATTAGTGTGCTTAACTTATAATCAATAATTATTATGTTATTTTTTGTGTAAATAAATGCGTTTTGCAATGATAAATAGTCAATATTTAATTAATGATATGCGAATAGTACATAACTCAAGAAGTATGGTAACATAATTAATGAGAAAAAATAACATACCTAGTTAAAATATTATTTATATTAAACTGAACAAATTGATTAGATACAACACAATAAATGATAACAAAATAATTTCGTTCTAAATAAAAAAAAATATGAAAAATTGGATAGGTCTCCTGGCTTAAAAAAATCGCATGATGAATATTGCTGTTTTGTAAATTTTTCTTTTTTGACTATGAAAACTCACTTGAAATTGTTTTCTTTTTATGCTGTCTCTCTCCCTCTCTCTCTTGATTCTCTCTCTTTATTTTCTCTTTCACTGTACAAAATGCATAGATTTTTGCCTATTGAAATACAGGTTGTAGTTCATAACTTACCTATAACGTAACCTAGCTATTGTTCACCGTCAATCAAGGCCGATGTTGTTAAGAAAAAAGTAATCATGCTAATATTGAAGACATTTCCTGAAACGTAAATCTTCAATGTATCAATAAAACATCTACCTAATAATGAATAGTATTCGTATAATTACTGATGGGTAATGACTAAAACAACTTCTATAAATAACATGGCTTAATAATTATTCATAAAGAAGAAAGTTTAGTTCGTCATTAAAATTAAAAGTACATCTCATAGAATACCTTTAGCTTAATAATAAGGGTGTTAGAGTTAAAAACAATTTGAAACAAGTAGCGCCATCTACTTCCAGTCAGGTGTCGTGTACGTATTTTGTTTACAATTACTCAAATAGATGTCACTATTTTGTATCCAAAATAAAAATAAAATATTGTTCATATTAGAAGGAATAGTTTTCTTTATGTCACTTGTTTTTGAATTATTATATTAAGTCTATTAGCATTTTGAAGAATTTAAGAATAAATCTTGATGAGACCGAGTCAAGATAAAATTATTTTCGAAAAACTACGACCTTACAATAGAAACCACAAAATGGAGTAAGTTTGGCGGTCACACGCATACTGAATCATCTAACGTTGAGACGAAATTAAGGAGTATAAGGTCAAAATTAGTGTTTTTTTACGGATTCGTGATTTTTTTTAAGAGTTTTGTAATTTTTTGTTTTTAAAAAAATTTAGCAACAACATATAAATAAATACAAACTATCTGTTTTTCTAACATTCAACATCAGGTATCGGAACCGTGCAATCGAAGTAACATTTATACAACAATGATTTACCCAGTCATCCTTTTCACGGTACTTTGTGTGCTAGGTGCAAATGCTTCACCGGTAAGTGAATATAAAAAAATAAAATGTTTATAGGTCAGGATGAAAAAGGTCATTGTATATGGCATGGCAAGATCGAAGAAAGTATATATGAACTGTGTGAAAGATAATATCGGCTGATAGAGTTGCATGGTAGACTAGTATATACTGTGCCGACCCCCGGAGGGACAAGGGTAAGTATGTACTACTCTTCCATGTAACATCATATGTATATACTTTCCTCGATCTTGCTTTACCTAAATACATCTACATTCAGTCTCATTTCTTTATTATTTATGTGATCATAAACTCTCTCCAGGACTCCAGTGACATATAAACTAATTAGTTCTAAAAGTTATATTTTTCTTTTTATTATTTCCTATTGCACCCGTTTGAATTTGGTCAGTTCTGTAAAAAATGTCAATTTTAAAAAAAATGTATTTTTCAGGCACCCCTCAAGTTACCGGCACAAATTGCTGAAAAAGTGAAGCAAGTAGGAAGTCAATGCATTAAAGAAACTGGGGCTCCAGCTGACGCTCTCTCGAACACTATACCTTGGAATCTCAGTGAAAATGAAGGCAACGAAAAGTTCTTATTTTGTCTTTGCAAAGGAAATAATTTAATAAACGACGAAGGTCTTTTCGATCAGGGAAAAACTATGAATATTTTCGCTTCCAGTGACAAAAAAGATGATATCGCAAAGGCCTTCACAGAATGTAATGCGCAAAATGCCAAAGATAAATATGAAACTGTATACAAGATAACGGATTGTTTCTTTAAAAAGGCACCTATAGTTTTGTCTTTGTAAAAAAAAATATCTTCATTAAAAAGGTTGAGTTTAGTTTAGTACTACAATTTTATGTGAAGTAAAAGAAATTTAATAAAATTATGTTGTAATTTTGTTAATTATAGTATAGTCAATATCTATCCTTCTCCAACTCAGGGGTCAAGCACTTGACATGCAATCTGCAGGTCCTGGGTTCGAATCCCGCCGTATACCAATGTGTTTTTCGATTTCCGATTTACATATGTACATTTATCCGACGTTCTTACGTTGAAGGAAAACTTCGTGATGCAACCTGCACATATCTGAGAAGAAATTCAATGATATGTGTGAAGTCAACCAACCAGCACTGGGCCAGCGTGGTTGACTATGGCCTAATCACCCTTAACTTAGGGTAGGCTCCGAGCCCCTCGGTGGGGACATATAGTGAGCTGATGATGATGATGATGATTCTATCCTTTGTTTGCAGCCCAATTTAATCTGTGTTTAAAATTCAATATGTGTTCCAATAGAGTCAATGGTTCAGGAATTGCGTTAACATCACGTTAGACTTACTGTGTTACTTACCCTATTCAAGCTTAAATCAAAGAGAATTATTTTCTGGATTAAAAAATTGAAACATAATTAAGAACTTGTAATTTTAATATCTTATTTTAGGCGGGCCTAAAATAACTGGTGAATTTTCATGAAAGCATTTGACCACATCATACAGCGTCCGAATAGCTTTCCTTCTTTTAATTTTATTACATGACTCAAACACTTTTTTAACTTCCTCTTCGTAGTCGCTGTCGTCGAAAAGACGAAGCATTATGTTAGTTAAGTGACCGTCCTCATCTGCCAGATACGTCGAGTAACAAACGCAGTATAGAAATTGTTTGGTCACTTCATCATCTGGAAATTTCAATTCGTAGAAGTGTTTGATCGCGGTGCTTCTTGTTTGGAATATTAACATACAATTGTATGTTATTTTAGCCATGTGATCAGCAAGATCTTTTGGTAAGTTTACTACAGGTCTCTGAAATTAAAAAAAATAATTTTTAACTTTTTTTTTAAATTACTTCGAATTTTAAAAGGAATCAATGAACTAATTATGTGTCAATTATAAGCGTAGTATAGTACTGTATTTAGACATCTGATAAAAGCAACGATAAGATTTCATCATAATTATTATTATAAAATTATTGTTAAATCACATTCGGGTGATTTTGTACATTTTCCTCGGAAAACATTTTTTCCGATAGAATTTTAAAGGTAGAGTTAATAGAGTATCTTATACTTTTATATTCATAAGGAAATAATTTAGACATTGATTTAGTAACAAAGAAAAAATAAAAATGGTACTTTTTATCTTTGAGAATATAAATCAAATCACTCACCTTATCAATTTGTGCAAGCGTTGCGGGTAAAATTACATGCAAAATTAAAAAGCGAATCATTGTGATGAATTTTATCGCGAAACATGTGGTAACTACTTTCTCTGCATTAATACTGCTGATGGTTATTCAATAAACGGCATGAGATTCAATACAGTTCGTTTGTTTCGGTGACCTTCGTCGACTGAATGTTATGAAACTGAATCAGAACAAGGTTTTAACACTAACACTGCTGGTGTTCTAATAGTTCGAATATAATTTAGTTTAAACCACATTCTTCGTTGCAAAATCTAAACTCCTACGAACCTGTTAATTTCAAAAACACCAACAGGGTATCATCATCAGCTCACTATAGTCCGCAATTAGGGGCTCGGAGCCTACTCAAAGTTACGGGTAACTAGGCTATATCCAACTATTACGGTATAATTATAAAAACAACTAAGAAAACTAAGTAGGTAGCCTATGTGTTCTTCTAGACTATTTTATATATCAATGCCAAATTTCATCGAGATACAGTAAGCTGATTTAGAGATATGTAGACATCCATTCATAAAAACTTTCGCATTTATAATATTAGTACATGATTGGTAAGCAAAAAAATTATCTAGGGTAGATCGTAAAATCGATTTTGTACATTAAGCAGAAAATTGCAGATTTTTCTGCATTTTTTTTCTACGGCCTGTGGGGCCAATCTACTGGCAGACACCTAGTGTTACGGCATACTAAGTGTTAATTGATTATATTGGATTTGATCATCAAAAACAAGCACGTATGAGTACAAATTCGTCTCATTACCCAGAGATCCAATACCACATCCTTTCACTCCATTTCTTTATCCTTTTACATTATCATTAACTTATATACGGCTAAAAATAGATTGAATGGTTGACTTTAATATTTAAAAATTGCGTATAAACCGTTGGAATAAATGTGTTTGTATTTTTGGAAGAAATATTTTAACATGATTAATAGTAACTCCTTATTTCAATATCGTACTAACTCTGGCCCTAAAATGACGGGGGTATTATTATAAAAACATTTGGCTACTTCGCTTAGTGTCCGAACTGGTGTGTTCGTTTTTATTTTGTTACAAGATTCGAACACCTTTTGAACTTCCTCAGCATGTTCGTTGTCGTCAAAAAGTCTCAGCATTGCTTCGGACAAGTGGCCATCCTCATCTGCTAGATACGTGGTGTAACAAACGCAGAACAGAAACTGTCTACTCAATTCGTCATCTTGGAATTCGAGTTCGAAGAAGCGTTTAACCATGCTACTTTTGGTTTGCAACTTTATCATACATTGAAAAGCCGTTTTCGCCATGTAATCACTAAGGTCTTTTGGTAAGTAGACTATGGGTCTCTGAAATTTAAAATAATTTACGAATTACATATTTTTAATCCCGCGCGGACGGAGTCGCGGGCGACAGCTAGTAACCATATAAAATAGTTAGTTGTTTTTTCCAACTTCAGCTCGTATATCGTGATAGCACCAAGTTAATTAGTACCAATGTCTGTTAAAAGATGTATGAAATTGTGTTACTGTCGGGATCGATATTTATTTCCAGATTCAAATAAATAGAGCAAATTTGAATAAAACGATTTAAAAATGGAATTTCTTGTTTTTAAATATAGAATATATAATTCAAGATTACTTACCGTATCAGTTTTCCCAAGCGCTACCGGTAATGTTACATATAATATTAACAAGCGAATCATTGT